ACCCGTGCGTTGGCTATTATTTTGGAAGAAAAGTGCTTTTTGTACCACATTCTCATCTTCGTCTCTGTAGCCTTTCAGCTCACTTATTAGCGATCCTCACCCTTCTTTTTCAAATGTTGAGCATCAGCAGTAGGAGGAGGGATCTGCTGCAAAAAGTCGTGCACGATTTTCTTGGGGCATCGAGCACTAGATGAAGGGATATCAAAACCAAAGTCAGTAGTCGTTCCTGTAGCTGCATTAAAATAGTTCAGAAAACTCAACTTTTTCCTCATCTACCCCAAACCCCACTTCCTCGCCGCTTTTCCTCCTTCTCCGAACCGGAGGGAGGAATTCGAAATCATCCTAATACTCTTCGCTATGTAATTTGTTACCACCATACTACCGTTGCTGTATGCAGTGCTTTTTCAGTATACGGGACAAATATACGCGTCTTCTTCTGCACTGCCACGCTTTCCTTTACTTTTGCAAGTTTCTCGATGGAATTCCATCACTCAGGACTTCCCCAGCTTCATCTTTTAAGGATTTTAAGAACTTTTTTGAAATAAGCTAATGGCTTTTCTCTGTCTTGTGTTTCTTCATAGCTGTAGGGGCGAAGAAGTTTTAGGTCACGAAGCCAGTTTACCATCGAAACAAATAAACGGGTTGTAGGGTTATTGATTTTCCTACTAGAAAGCCAAATCGCACTTTCAGTAAGCAAATGGTACTGCCAACTAATACATGGAGCCCACCAGTGGTAATGTGGAGGAATTGGCACTATCTGCGACCACACGTAGTTCATCAGTGGTGAAGTTCTCGTGAAATAAAAAAAAGAGCACTTATATATGGAAAGAATAGCTGTGGTATTTCGTGAATATCTCCATTTTTCGAGTATTTCGTGAATATCTCCATTTTTTATTGTTTATAATATTTTTTTATCTTTTGAGTTGATTTACACTTGTTCTATTGCTCTTTTTTTTCAGTTGGAACCAAAAACGTGGCCTACTGGCCATAGCTGGTAATGTAAAAGTTTGTGGACTGTGGGATATGCATGCAGAAAAATGTATCCAGGAAATTCAAATTGGTGCCAAGAATTGTGCTGTTACTAGGCTCAGTATCGACAATTCGAGCAACGAACTTCTTGCACTGGGTATTACTAGCTATCAGTCAATTTCTCAATCAGTTTTTATGCTCTTTGTGCTGTGTAGCAGCTGCTCAAAATGCATATTGTCACTCCCCTGTCAGCGTGTGTATGAGTGCATGTATTTGTGTATGTGTGTGTATGTATGTATGTATGTATATATGTATGTATATATGTATGTATATATGTATGTATATATGTATG